CGATTTTGACATTGAAATTAATGTCGGGCCTTGTTTTCTATTTATAACTTATCTTTAACATTTTTCATAAAAAACTTTGAATTATACAATTTTTCAATTTTATTCTTATCAAATAGACTCATAAGAATAAAGTCAATATAATACTAAATAATGATAAAATTATATATTCATATGAAAAATTTCTACTTTCTATATTTTATAAATAAGACTCTTTGATTTTTTTTTTTTTTAATATGAGATTATGAATTTAACTTTCTATAGAGGATAGTGGAGGTATTTATGTAGCCCAGCAGCTCGGTTTGCCCATTCGAGCTTGTATAAAAAATGCCCAACCTAGCCTGAAAAAATGAGTTCGAAAATAATTTGTGCATGTTTGGGCCTAACTAAGTACTGGGCAAGTAGAGCCGGGAAAACGGGCCGAGCCCGTCGGGCCGGCCCTTTTAGGCCCTGAAATTATGAGGGCCGGGCTTGATATTTTTCCCTTAAAATGAAACATAAGCCCTGGAGGGCTAGCCCTGGAGGGCCGAGGGCTTAAAAGGGCCGGCCCTGGAGGGCCACGGGCCGGCCCTTTTAAGCCCTTTTATATTTTTTTTATTTTAAAATTTTTTTATATAATATTAATGTTATTAATTTTTTACATTGTTAATAATATTTCAAATATTTAGTTATTATTATCATTTTAAAAGTAAATTTAGTTTTAGATAATAATTTATCCAATTAAATTTTTAAAAAATGGGTTAATTTGGACTTCAATAATGATTTGATTTATATTATATGCGTTGATATTTTTAAACTATATATATATATTTGATAATAGAATATTTTTATACTTATATAACTTGTGATTCTATAATTTGAATTAGAAATTCATGAGTTTTAACAGCAATGTTTCTCACATTAAAGTAAAAAAATAGTTAGATTGCAAAATTTAAAAATAAAATTCTTATAAAGAAGAAAAACTTGATATTTTTGTTACGAAAGAAAAGTATACTTATGAAGAAAAGTAATTAATTATAGTGATGATGAAGTTTCAAAAGATTAATAATAGTGTTTATTTATTGCACAATTGCATTATAGATAAAACTTTTAGATGTTGTTATCTTGTTAATGAATGTTTTAGATGTTCTTAGATGTTGATGAATATTTATATATGATGATATTTTATATGTGACTTAATTTTATTCATATTTATGTCTTTTATTAATAATTTCATTGATTTATTTTTATAAAAAATATGATAAATATAAAAAATAGTATTTTTTCTTAAACGGGCCAAAAGCCCGCGGGCCGGCCCTGGCCCTGTAGCTTAAGGGCCGGGCTTAGCAAATTGGGGTATTTTTAAAATTCCAGCCCTGGAGGGCCGGCCCTTTTAAGCCCGCCAGCCCTGAAGGGCCGGCCCTGATTCCCGGCTCTATGGGCAAGGCTAAGCATTGGGTTAGGTTGCCCTGCCCATTTTGCCTTGCCTAGTAGATATATATTATTTTATTTTATATAAAATTATATATAATATATTTTTATATTTTTTGGGGGCATATTAATATGTGATGGTAAGAAAAAATAAATAACACCAAAAAAATTTTCAACAATTCAATTACGCAATCAATTGCCGCAAATATGGTGAATTTAAAAGGAAAAATTGGAGCACGGAAGGTAACGGTGCAAATTTTGAAGGCTATTAAAGTGTCATATACCCATTAATTGCTTATATCTCTCAAAAGTTGTTGATGCTACCTTATATCTTACTTTGATTTCAAATGACTTTTAAAATGGCATAGACATAGAGGCTCTATTTTCACCTCTCATCTTTTTGCATTAATAGCCTATTTACCCTATTGGTTTATTTTGCTTTAACTGAAATTTTCTCTTTTAACTTTTAAGTAGACGTTATACAGGCATCTTAAAGGACTTTACAAGTGTATAGATTTTTCCCTTAGTTTTACGCAGAAACCGTTAACTTTTGTTATTAGAAATTAAGGAATATATTTGAAGTTTACAATATTCTTGACCAGGGGTCTTGTTTGAATTTTTTCCTTCACAGACTATATCAACATGGTGTTATTATATGGGTAAGAAAGCCCACCCTACTTTGCCCAAAATTATTCAAACTTTCATTGAGTAGAGTCAGGCAACGAGCTGCATTTATTTTCCGGGCTAGGTATCTGACAGAGGTTGTCCTACCTTGCCCAGCTCTAACCCTAGAGAATAGAATATATGTGAGTTATGAGAAAAATGGCTCCTTGTATTGATAAACTAGAAATAGACTAAATAAAAACTCTTATTGTTTTTTTTTGGGTATGAACATAAATTGAAATCGAAAAGGAAAAAATGTTAAAAAGAAGGGAGAATTTAAATTAAAGACCATTGCAGTCAATTTATTTCAAAATGCCCCCATAAAAATCTGAAACTTCATTACAGTCTCATGTGTGTAAAATAAAATTAATTTTTGGAGCCAAAAGACATTGTTATCCCTGGAGCTTATTATGTTTGAAGCTTGTAAAAAAGAATTTGACGGATTGCTCACTAAAGCCCCTCTCTGAAAAAATCACTCCATCTTCTAGCTTTTGGGTGTGTTCTATTGGCATTGCTGCTATCATTCTGTTGAGTCCATTGTTGTCGTCATCGTTGCATCCATGCATTCAGTCACCGTTGCTGTCAACCTCGGATTCCGTTATCGTCACCATGGTTTGCTACTTGCTATTGGGCTTTGACAAGTTTGTTCTAGTGAGCTGTCATTCCCATTATTCTCCATTTTGGTTCAGTTGGCATTCCCTCATCTATTTATCATGGTATGGGTTCTGGTGCACTTAAACAAACTTTGTTAGATTTTTCTCCTCTTTTCTGAGTTGTGCAAATGAGGTTCTATATGGTTTTGATTCTAGACAATCATTGCATTGCTGTTGTATTTATGTATGAGGTTTTATATGGTTCAACCATTAGTGCTTTATAATATAGGACAAGAAAGAAACTAAATAAATAGTTGATTAGAATTTAAGATGCGTTGCATTATCAATTTTTTTTTTTTATATTTGCAAACATGTCAACTTTTGCTTTTAAAGGAAAACTAAATCTTATAGGGTCTATTTCTTCCAATATCTTCTAATTGATTCTACCCAATATTCTTCTATAAATGAATTAGTGATAGTGAATGGATTGGTGATATTAAACTAAATTGTCTAGAAAACTTGTTATTTTGTGTTGTGAAAATGCGTATTTGCGTTTTAAATTCGTAAATTTCAATTGTAAATTTATAATTTGTTAAAGTTTTGATACTTGATTGAAATCGACACATTAATGATGTGTAGTAAGGGATGAGATATGGCTAGTAGTCCTGGAAAATGATTATTTTGTATCTTCTATGTGGGAGGGAATTATGTGAAGACCTTATAGGAGAAAATGACATGTGAGGGATTATAAGTTGAACATTGATGGCAAAACTGCTGCTTGTTAAATATTCACAAGTTTGAGAGGGACAATTCACAATTAGAATTAGAAAATTTGCAACATGGATACTTAAATTAACAACAGAAATACATCCATTTGTAAGTAAACTAATTTATTCATATATTTACATTGTTGCCAACTAATTTCAGTGCAGTACTTCGAATAGCTTATCATCAAATACTATCATGAAATATTTCAACCCATCCCAAAAATCCTAAATGGATTGTCATAGCTACTTTCCCTACTAATCCAAAAATACATATTGGGGTTCATATATTTACAAAAGTAGCTATATATTAAACAAAAAAAAAGACTATTTTTAACAATAAATTCATGCAGGGTTTGAGTTCCTACAAGTCTTTCTAGTGTGACTAGCTTCATCTTATATTGACAACTTCTAGACCACACATCATTTGCTATCATACTCTGCAGTTCTTCATATATAATCTCTTTTCTTATCAATCTTCCACTTATAAGCCCCCTCCACATATTATTTTGCTTTCTAAGGTCTTCACAAATTCTCCTCCCACGTGAAAGATGCAAGATAATTGTTTTCCACTAGTGTTAGCCATATATAATCTGTTGTTGCACATCATTCAAGTATCACTTTCAATCAATTTTAAAAAAATTTAACACTGTATATGTTTATTATAGGAATTTACAAATTTATAATAGAAATATGAGTTTTCACAATACCAAATTACCATTGTCCTATACAACTCAAATTTGCAAATTTACAACATAATTATAGGTTTTGACAACATCAAATTACTATTTTTCTGCATAATTAACTTCTATAGCAGCTACTTAAGCACAATTTATTCATTTCCTCTTATTCCTACCTTCTCTAAGTTCCTTCAAAAGCGTATGACAGTAAATCTTCATCCATTTTCACCCACTTTTCAAAAAGTACAAACACTGAATGTTTAACAACTTAAAAGAAGAAGATAATAACAATTTCTTTCTAAAATCAAACGTACTATTGGATTTTTTCTCACTCACTGCCTACTTACCCATTCATTTCAATACCTATTTCTACATATTAACTCATCACAATCCATTAGTGCTCACCAACTTAGATGGAAAAAAAAAACAAAAATTTTGAAAATAAAATTTTACTTCACACACCAAGCACCAATAACTATGAGGACGCAACACTGTAGGGTAGAGTTGGGATGGCAATGGACTTAACAGAATGATTGTAGCAGTGCCGATGGAACACAACCAAAAGCTAGAGGATGGAGTGATGTTTTCAGACAGGAGCTTTAGTGAGCAATCCGTCAAATTCTTTTCTCCAAGTTTCAATCGCAATAAACTTTAAGGGTAATAATGTCTTTTTACTTCAAAAATTAATTTCATTTTATACCTATAAGACTGCCATGAAGTTTCAGATTTTTTTTTAGGATATTTTGAAATAAATTGGCTACGGCAGTTGTCAATTGAAATTCTCCCTAAAAAGAATATTGGGCCGAAGAAGTTCGACCAGTTCTATTGCAAAATGCAAATGGAGGCACAAATTCCCAAACCCATGAAGGCTATGGCTCTCAACGAATCTACGAGTACTCTCTTCCCCCTCGCAAAATTCTTCATTCTCTCTCTCTTCTCTGCACTGTGTCTCTCGCAGCACTTCCTCTTCGCAAACAAGAACCAACCGCAACGAGATGCAGATCTTCGTTAAGACTTTGACTGGAAAGACCATCACTCTTGAGGTTGAGAGCAGTGACACCATCGACAATGTCAAGGCCAAGATTCAGGTTCTCCTTTGCTTTTCCCAGCTCCACTGCCCTTTTTCTTTTGGATAGGGTATTTTTACGATTGCTTTTGAGTGGGATTTTGCTGGAGGTTGAGTGATTTTGGTGATGTTTGATTCCTATTTTGATTCCCCGTTTATACACAAGGCTACCTGATTAATAAGGGTTTTATACTGAATCTGGTTCTTTCCGGGAATGGCATTTAAATGCACAATTCTTGCAAATAAAACCTTTCTATGGAGCGGAAATTATTAGCTTGAATCATTCTTTGGTTTGATTAAAAGCTTGGGCAGTGGGCACTGTGCTGAAGCTCGCCAAATTCATGCCATTGTAGGGTTTTAGAACAACAGTAATCCAGCTTTTGGTTATTTGTTTTTAATATTGGATTCTCTTATATTGTAGGTTATTGTTTGCCACAAATTGTTGCATGGGTGTGTGTAGATTTCATTCCAGAGTGATAGTTTATTCATATTTGTGTTATAGAGGAACTTAAGATGTTCCTTTAATCCCATTCCTGGTCAAGTGAAAATTTAGGTACCATTTGGTGTGAGGAAAATGGAGGGAGGGGGGGGGGGATTTTAATGAGCTCTGTTTAAAAAACTGGAGAAGTGGGGTTTTGAAATTATAATCAAGACAAGAAGAAATATAAAAGAGTAATAAAAATTAATTAAAAGTTTTTAACCCTACTTTTTTTTTTAAATTTTTTAAATTGAGCTTATAAAAATTTTTCTTCCCTTCCCCTCCTCTCATTTTCTCTCATACCAAATGGACCTGGAAATCACGCACGCGCATACTTGTTTCTTGAAACTTATGTGCATAGTGCTTTTCCTTTGTTACAAGGGGGAGGCAAATTCGGCAGGTAATAGAAATTGACAGATTAATTCTGCCTTGTCCGTGATGTATTTGTGTGTTTTATATGACATCATACAATGCTGATGACTTCACATGAGATTCATAAAACTGTCTTCTATTTTTTAAGTTGCAGGGTTAATTTCTAACTGTGGTGGAACATTTATTTGCAGGACAAGGAAGGTATTCCTCCTGACCAGCAGAGGTTGATTTTTGCTGGCAAGCAGCTGGAAGATGGTCGTACACTAGCTGATTATAACATCCAAAAGGAATCAACGCTTCACTTGGTTTTGAGGCTTAGAGGAGGCACCATGATTAAAGTGAAGACTCTAACTGGAAAAGAAATTGAAATTGACATTGAGCCAACTGATACCATTGACCGAATCAAGGAAAGGGTTGAAGAAAAGGAGGGAATTCCTCCAGTGCAGCAGAGGTTTGCCCTTTCTTCTCCTTAGCATGTTACTTGGACTTGAGCAGTTCACTGAAAATTATTTTACCTGGGGCGATAACTCTTGAATGATAATATTTTACATGAGACTGCAGGCATTTATATGTTTATGATAATCTCTTTCTTTTCATCTCGCACTAAAAGATAATGTGTGAAATATTGGGATATTATTGGTTTATATACAATAAGTTGTCATCTTGTCAATGGCGTGACTTTTGAAAGTGAATTACGTCAGAGCTTTTCTTTGTTTATCCCCCTCTTTTCTTAACAAAAAGAATTAATGTAGCATTGGTTTTGTTTGGCTTTGTGAGTCATCTTTTCAATTAAAGATGGGTTGTGCGAAGTTTTCTAATTTAAATTTGTTTGTAATGATTATTCCTTTTCATTAATTTCATCCAGCATTTGGATTAAGAAATTCTAGCAATAACTTCATCATTTGCTTGTTGCTGGTGACGTTTATATAACTCCCATGGATTGTGTGTTCAAATTGTTGCATATGTAGTGTGTGTAATCATGAGCAATTGCGGAATTTAGTTTTCGTTATTGCACTAGAAAGATTGGGAATTACACAGCATTTGCTACTTGCTGCAGGCTTATATATGCTGGTAAGCAGCTTGCGGATGACAAGACAGCGAAAGAGTACAACATTGAGGGCGGTTCTGTGCTTCACTTGGTGCTTGCCTTGAGGGGTGGTATCCATTAAGTAGAATGCTCTTCATTTGTGGGAACTCTACTCGTCGAGGCTTTATTATCTGTTGTCGATTGTTAACATCACCTAAAAACGAGAATGGAAGCTCCGACTCAGACTGTCTCTGAAATTCAACGTTTTATAAATTTGCATTGTTCCTAAACTTTATGGCTATCATTGGTGTAGTCCGATTCTAAAATGCTTTCAAACTCCAGTGACCTTGTATCATTAACTTTCGAGCTGTAAACTCATAACCAATAGTTTAGGTACTTAATTTGGTTCAGCGTCCGAGTGACTCTCTCATGGAAGTGCATTGGATGTTTATGTTGGAGACAAAGGTACCTGTCAGACATGGCGACTCACTGATTGGTAAGGAATTTGGCATCCTGATTGTTAAAAATTCTGTCTCCTTCCCTTTGTTTTTTTTTTTTTCCTTTGGTTTGCACTCTTCTGTTCTGGGCTCATGTAGCTGCTACGTTATGGGTATTTTGTTATGTTTTAGCTGCAGAATGTCTCTCTAAATCCTGATCTCAGCTATTATTTGCTGGAAATGGTAATGAGACTAGTAAATGGATATTTCACTTGTTCACTAGGCTCTTTTTTCCCGTTTTTGGTCAATTAACGTGGAGCCTTTTCAATTGAATTTATGGTGCATATCAAGTTGGGCCTACCCGACAGCGGTTCAGTGGGCTAAGATGTCTTTATATGCAAACCATCCTTTTTCAAAAAAAGGTGATAATTGTGATTTGTGAGATTGTAAGAATTTCGTTCCTTCGGGATTGGTTTTGACTTTGACATGTCTTTGAAGCCCAACTTCTTCCAAGAGGCATCACTTCAATAGGCAAATGAGTGGGAAGCCAGCAGAATTAATGTTTGTAGTGTTGAACGTTGACGATTTCGTTAACCATATAGGTGTGGCTAGTTGTGGAGACTTGGAGAGCTAATTTGGGATGAAAGCTGATTATTGGAAATGCGGCTTTACGACGAAACAATGGTTTGGCCTTGGCATGGAAACAATGTAGTCTTTAACATGGTAGAAGATATTACAAAGATAATTATGCCAGATTGGAAAATAAATTATGATAACATTTTTAGAGAAGGAAAATTTGTGTTGATTGGTTCACGTATGACATGATCATGATATGAAGCGAGAGGTTATGGTTTATGATAGGACTTCGGTGGAGTGAAGAAACGTGTTAGCATTTGGATAATATGTAGCCTTGGATTCTTTTGACTTTTGCTTTCTTTTGTATAAAAAAAACAATTCACCTACACTTTTTCTTTTATATCACAGGAGTTTAAATTACTTCTTGATTCTTAAAGAAATCAAATGGGTTTACTTTTTGTATAACATTAAATTATATGTGAATTTGTAAGGTATGTAAATTAGTTTGAAAAACGGTAAAAATGAGATATAAAGTGGATCAAAATATTATATGTATGACCAAATTTAACTCGAGTAGTTTGTATATTTAGTTAAGAAAGAAGTTTAAAAAACTTTGTCCGTACTCCATGTCTCCATTCCATCCTTATCACTTGAAAAATTCTATCATTTTAATTTTCTTAAGATTGCAGTCTTTCATTGGGATTCATGTCAATCAATTAATCTTGAGACACTTTGACATGTTCTTGAAGCTCCACGTACCCATATTTTAACATATAAAAAAGTTTTAAAGCCATATTAGTTTTTGTAATTTGATCAAACCTTGATTTTATTTCTTATAGTTTTAAATCGTTGGTTTTGATTTTTTTAATTTTATAATTTTTTGATGAGTTTAACAAATAGTCCATATACTTTTAATGGTTTCTGGTTTTAATCTTTATACTCAAAATCAGATCAAGTCTTTATGAAATTATAAAGACCAAAACCAACGATTCAAAACTACAGGAACTAAAATCAAAATTAAATCAAACTTTAAGGGCCAACAATTTTATTAACTGCGTCGCAAAAATTTGACATGTTAAATTGAAGCATGGTAATAAAAACGTTGGTGTTGAAATGTAGAATTGAATGGAGTTCGGGTTAACGGAAGACAGTAATGAAAACGTTGAAGTGGTGACATATTGAATGGAAGAGAGACGACAAAGAGTCTGAGGTTTCAGATGCTATCACTCACAAATGTCTTCAAGCCGTCACCATATCCATTTACCAACCTCCCTGAGGCCCACCAATAATACTTGTCTCTTTCCTCTCTTGCTTGCTTTCCCTTCAAGTTACATCTCTCTCTCTCTCTCTCTCTCTCTCTCTCTTAATTTTTCTTCAACTTTTTCTCAACACAAAGGCCACCACGACAAGTCCTGCTATAGCTAAACACCATGAATATTAGACTTAATTATTAGGAGCATTATATAAAAAGAATGGGGGGAAATTCAGAGCCATGTGGGTTTTTTTTTTTTTCCTGGGTTAAGGGTTATTCCTCTCTCAAAGTATTTACGAAAAAGTTATCAATATTTAAAAGTTTTCTTGCGGTCAATATCGCTTTAAAAGTATTGAAAAAGATGTAATAATACCATTAATTAAAAACCTAATGTTGACTATTAAATATTTTTAATACTCATTTTAACACTTTTGAGAGGTATTATTGTGTCAATTTTTTAAGAGCCTCATAGCTTCTTCGCGATTACTTGCAAAATAAAAATGACCCCCCTTAACCATATACTACCTCCAGTCCTTAATATAAGATTTTATTTGATTTTTACTTTAATCCTAAATACAAGACCCCAATCTGTTTTATCTCTTATATTTAATCATTTTTTTTCAAGGTAGTCCTTCTAATAATGGTAGTTCTAATCAATACACTTGATTAGTAAGGATATTTTAGAAAATACAACACCTATTTATAACAAATAACTAACTTTAACTTATTTTTTTAATCCACTCAAATTAGTTAACTAGCTCTTATATTTAGTACAGGAGGTAATATAAGACTATTGGCCATAACCCTGTAATCTATTTTGATTTTATGCTCATGGTGAGCTAATCAATTAGTGTTTCTTAGTTTTTTTTTGTTGTAAAATTAATTAATCATGCTTGGAGGATGCATTGTATTTGATGCCTCCCTCCCTCCACACAAAAAATATTGTTTGAAAAAAATCACAATCTTAAAATATTCGGATTAAAAGGTAATGCATTTCATGAGTTGGCTCGGAATAGTTTGATTTATTTGCACCTTAAACAGCAGATCTAATTCCAATTATTGAGCAAAACCACATGTTTGTCTGTTAAGAGGCAATAATAATCATAATCATAATTTTTTAATTAACCAATTGGAGCATAGACACCAAATATCGAGCTTAAACACGAAATGTTCATGAAATAAGCACATATGATATAAATGTCCTGTCTGTTAACGATAGGTACACGTTTAGTTTTCCATATTTAATATTTAATTCACAACCCTTATCTTAAGATTCAGATCATCTGAACTCTACAGTTGTGTGAAGTCTTTTTCACATGAGGAAAAGGAAAAAGTAAATAGGGGAAAAATAGATTCCAATCGGTCTAAATCGATTAAAATGGAATTAAACAAAACAAAGCCAAAATTGCTTTTTTTTTTTTTTTTTAAATGATTGAATTGGCTGTCGGTTTGACTTGTAAAAGAGGAGGGGATTCCTTGTTGGGTAATGATTGAAGAATGTACCAGGCCTATTGGACCAACAACGGCTCTGCCTTTTTTTTAATTTGAATAATATATTTTCTGTAAATAAGTTTTGAAAAAATTGTGAAAAATCTCTCATGATAAAATCTATAACACCAAAGGTAGCTAAGAGGTGAGTAATTCATCTTCAATAGATATGACCCTTTTTGAGATGTATATATTATTTTCAACTATTAAGTAAATATTTTTTATTTTGCACATAACGGAAAATAGATTGCATAGAGTTGAGGAAGAGTTATATGTGAGCTCTTAAATAAATTTTAGATACCCTTAGATAATAAATTTTAAAATGGGTAGTTTTTCGACAAAAAATTTCCTAAATTTTATTGCCAATTAATCTGTTATCACTTTGAGCAACATAAAACTATAACTAAATAATTTCGAAATAAACATTTAAAAAATGAAATATGAAAAATTCAAATGCATTGAATTGAACAAACTAGATTAAAGGAGATGAAACATACGAACATTCCTACTTTCGTATGTCTGCCATATGAGCTTGAAAACTAATTTGTGGATATTAAAAAATTAATTAGTTTAATTATATCTAATTATGTGATGTTACTAAATTAATTGTAGCAATATTTTTGTCGTTTAACATTTTTTTGACGTGGCAAAGAATTGTGTCCTTAGAGTAGGGAAACTCTCTCTCTCTCTCTCTCTCTGTCAGAGTCACACACACAACAAAATGTATCTTGTCAAACATAAACTCTCACCAACAAAATCCAAGATGGCATTTTGTGTATGTAATGTATGAAATAATGTAGACTTTTGGTGATGAGGTTGCGTTCACAACTACCAAACTGCGGGCTCATCCACGTCACTCCTACGCAATTTCATGTGTCATTCTTTCAATAATGCTCTCATTATTATTACCCTTGCTTTCTAAAATGCTCTACGTTCGTTCATGAATTATTTGAAGAGGTATATGTGCGAAAGTGATATAAAATATATATGATCTTATACTCCAATAGTTTCAAACATAAGTTATTTCTATCCCAATGTAAAAGAAAGGATTTGAAAACAACAAAATCCTAAACTATTGGAAACAAGGATAATTTTTTTTTGACAAAAAGTTGATTAATATACCATATTTTTATGCATAATTTTTCAACCAATACTAATATAACAATCACCTAAAAAATAGATGATGATACATAATAATGGAATATCCTATTTATATAACATATACACATTTTTCATTGACGTAAGGCTTAGAATCTTGTAAGAGAGTAGTTCCTATCTATATGGTGACCGCTTCCACAATAGTTTATAACAAGAAAGTGTGAATGCTACCAATTAGAGCGAATTGAGATTCGAATCCTCATTAAAAGAGATTATCATATCTGATACCCAAGATTTTTCTAAACCAAACCTAAATTAAAATTTTTTTTCCTAATACGAGTTGTCTTCAAATGGTAAGATGTTATATTTACCAGAACTCAAATCTAAAAAATTTTCACTTTTCCCTCTCTTACTCTCTCTTTCCTTGGACTGATTTAGTTTGGCAGTCGCTTAAAGTCATGAATGGCAAGTGAAAGCTTACTAACCCAAGAGAAAAAAAACATGTCAAATAAATTAGGTAGACTGATAGAAAATGGCTTATGAATGTTTAATTCTCTAAGGGGGACTTGGAGCCATTAGTTTTGTTGATTAAGATGCCATTAATTTAATTGGTTCAGATTTGATTAATTAGAGTGTTGTTTTCATGTGGGGTAACACTGATTTATATTCCACTATGTGTAGGTAGGTGAGATTAGTGCATTGCATGGGACACAGTGCTTGGAGTTTTAAATTATTCAAGCTTTTGCTTTCACTTATTATTATTTTTTTTATCATTTCAAAATTATTATTATTCTGGTTTCCTCCTCCCGCTATATATATATATATATATATATATATATATATTGTTACTTCCCTTCTATCCCTAATATAGGAGTTAGTTGAGGGGTTGTGTTTAGTCCTAAATATAAGAATTATGATTAATTTATTTATCTAACTTTTTTAAATCTACCCAAACTAATTAAGTATCTTTTATTTAAAAGAACTATGATTGTATTAATTTTCTTTAATAGTTGGTATAGAATATTATTATAGAGACTTTATTAGCCTTTGAAAACAATTATATATGATTTTAAAGATATTTTGATATGTTTTCCCCCTAATAATTTAGACTATTTAGAGTAGATCTTTCATTATATTACATGACATCAATCTTACGACATTATACTATTTGCAATAATATATTGTTTGTATATTGCGAGTTGGTAAGAATATTTTGAGGGGTTCCATGAAGTCATATCCTACGCGATTGACATGTAAAATTTAGCCATGTTAAACATACTACTTTTTAACATATATTAAAATAAAATAAAATGTTACCATCGATCACACGCTCACATTTCTCGTCATGCATGCATCATTAACCTTAAACAAATTACTAATTGAATATATTTTAAAACAA